CCCCCCACCCCCGTCTTGGCCGCCGAAATGATGACAAACCAATTCGTACTCCGAGGCTACATCACTTGCTCCGCCTGTTCGCCTCCCAAAGGTAACGACGTCGAGCATCTGCCGATGACGAGGGAAAATTCAATAGTAGTTTTCAATCTGATCAAGGCGCGGTACTCACCACCACATCCATAACTAAGAAAATCCTACAGGACCTCAATGACACCCCACCTGCTTCAAGCAACTGGCATCATCTAACAAGACCACCACCCTGACACTGACACAGCATAGAGTCATAGACCACCCGCACTTAATGCAGTGCGATGGCATATGACTCGGCCTGGTTCAGGTGGCATACAGAGTAGATGAACACCCTTCTTCACATTCTTCCAGACCGCACTTACTCAACTATCATTTATCACCCCCTTAACCAGATCCAATCCACGAACCACCCCAGCAGACAGATCATGGCCCGGTGACGAGGAATTTACCCAAAAGCCAAAGTTGTATGGTATCCGGCTGACTCGTGACACGTCGTGTTGCGTCTACAAAATCAAGCCTGGAAATCAGTGAGAACCTGAGAGCTAATCTGAGGGCCATGCAAGTCTGCCAGTTAATTCCTTTTCTTCTTGAGACATGATGTGGAAGGGCATGCATTAGAGACAGTCCGTGATTTAGTATCCTTATATAGTGCTTTGCAGACGGTATTTAATGAATACAGTAAAGAACGTTGATAGAATCGTCAAGACGTCGCTTCGTATCTTCGAGTGTACAGTGACCATGGCTACAGCTTATATACACACCTGCTCTTACATAAGAGCCCTCAGTTCCATGCTGATGATCCATGAATCGTAACACATCACAGGTGATCTGCACAAATGCGCCGGCCGTCCTTCCGAACTAAAGTGAAGCAGGGGTAATGGTCGAATTGGCATGAATCGCAATAGCGGCCGCATGCAAACACCGCAACTTGCCACAGTTCGCATGAAACACGATCCGCGTGCCGTCCCGCGAAACGGTTGCGCCACCGGGCGACTTGAGCCCGAAGTCGCCGGTCTTGAACAGCGCCCGGTCCGCGCGGGTGTAGGGCCCCTTCAGCGACGTGGCGTAGGCGTACTTGACGTCGTACTTCGGGGAGGTGAAGCAGTGGGAGGAGAAGAACAGGTAGTAGATGCCCTGGGCGGTGCGCAGGAGGTTGGGCGCCTCGACCAGCGGGCCGTCGCTCTTGTCGTTCTGGAGGATCTGGACCGGGGCGCCGACGGGGGTCACGCCGTCGGCCTCGAGCTCCTGCAGGAGGATGGGGACGGGCAGCACGGGCTTCTTGCCGTTGTTGCAGTCGCCGCCGTGGCCGATGCTGTTGGCGTCCGCCTTGTAGACGACGTAGAGCTTGCCGTCGGCGTCGCGGAAGGGCGACGGGTCGATCGCGCCGCCTTGGTCGCGCGGGCAGGCCAGCGGTTTGCGCTGCGGCACGTAGGGGCCCAGCGGGTTCGTGCCGTTGGTGACGGCGACGCCGACGCAGTGGTGATAGAGCCAATCTTTGAGTTCGCCGGAGTAGTAGAGGACGTATCGTCCGTCGTCCTGAGTTCACGTCCGGTTAGTAAGTTGCTGGGGGCTTGGGTGTTGGGGGATGGTGGCAGTAGATGTGGTACGTACGCGCTGGATCACGTCCGGGGCGTAGTGATTGATGTCTGTCTCCCAGCCACTCAACGAGGGCATGGCATCGTGGCCGTCGAGCAGCTTCCACGAGCTGAAGTCCCTCGACGTCGCGACGGGTACATGAGGCACTTCGGAGTTGTTCTTGACTGCATTGGTGCCGTAGGTATACCAGGTGCTGTTCACATGGAGTAGCCCAGGATCTGGAAAGTCCGAGAGGACCTGAATCGGTTGGTTTGCTGCGTTGTGATAGCTGGGATCATCATGGGATTTGTTCCTCTTCACCAAGACTATGGGAACCGTGATGGCGATGACGATTATCGCCAACGCGAAGAAGGCTAAGATCGACACTGTCAGGATCTTACCCCGCGTCCAGGGTCTCGGGCCCCTGGCGGAGGAATCTGACGACGATGCACTGTCGGGTGACTTCAGTACAGATATACCCTTCTCTGCACCGGATTCAGGCTGTGTAGATCGGGAGCTTGGCTCTGCGGGCGCCCCTAACAGGCTCCAGATCCCTCTCGTTCTCTGTTGTGTCTCCATTTCCGCCTATGTTTCTCACCATGCCCCGGCTAGCCGGAGGGTATGATCGATCGTACCAGGGTACCATTCATGTGCGTATGCAACGGTAGCTGAACCAGATACTGCTATTCAGGTTTATAGCACACTCAGATGGAGCTTTAATTAGAAAAGACTACGGTGTTTCGCAACGCGGGGTCCCGTTTCAGACAGAGAATCGCAGCGCTGATGGTAATCTAAGGCAAGCACGCAAATTGGCGTCAGCATAGCGAAAGGAACTGGCTGACCATTTCCAAGACGTCAGTTGGCCGGATTGAACAGCCACTTCTGGACCCCGGGATCTTCTCGGTAGTACTTCATATTAGCCAGTCGTCTCTTGCCGCCGCGGGCTAAGCATCCGCTTTGACTCAAGGGATGAGCGCATTGATTAGATCAGCCGCCACCGGGATCATGATGAGGTCTTTTCTTTTGTATAAGGAATTTGTGCCTGGGAGCATGTGCATGTTGACTACTGAAGTATAGGCCAGCCATTGCTGGACCATTGCTAACGCTCAATGGACCATTGTCCTTGAATCGGCGCTGAGCTGACTGTATTCGCGTTTACAGCCAGCTCAGGTGTAGAGACAATCACACTCGGAGCATGTGTTGAGAGCAAAGGACATTTGGACATAGCACAGAGTGTCTTGTGCTCAAGGTCAATGACGTTGTGGAATGACGCTGATCAGGTACCGTAGCATTCAAGCAACCATGATCGAGAGGTTCTCATCCAGGGTTGACTTTCCCGTGTTGTTCATTATCTTTCATTCATGAGATCTGGTAAGAGACTTTTCCGTGGTTACAGCCTGTGTACCGCTTTCAGTAACTATCGGGTCGGATAGCTTTCATCAGCCACTCTCAGGTCGAGAATGCTCCCACGTGTATTGTAAGGAGCGGTATTGTCCCGTAATTTCAACTGTAGATCGAAAGGCTCGAGATAAGGCCTGTGGCAATCTGAGACTCGAGACGGTAAGAGAAGGACAAGCGTCTTGACGAGATTCCTTATTAAGCATTGCGGTGATTGAGCCATGTTCAATTTGTCAATTGCCCGTGAGTTGGTGATTGTGAATAGGAGATTGTGGATGGAGGAAATACCGAGCACATGAAGCGGGAAGAAGGGGGAAGAGGAAGCGGGAGTGACAGCCAGCAATCACACACTCAGACATACTCCGGAGTACACCAGCTGCAGCTGAAGGCTTGTTTCCTTTACAGCCGAAGGGCAGGGCCAGACAAGCGCCGAAGCCAAGTCGGATCCATGACGCGGCTTGCTGGAGGGTGACGCAACCCCTTCCCGTATGCCTTCCACCACGTTCAATGCGACCGGGGATATTCTTGTCACTATCGGATCTTGGACGTTCCATAGTTGATCATCGTCAGGACTGAAGATATCCCCCCGTTGATTCAAACCCCGAGCGTAACCTTAAAATGTGGTCTGGAGTCTGGAGCCTCTGGACATCCGACAGACAGCCTTGCGATCGCAGGTGGATCTGAGGGTAGGGCCGAAAACGGCGGTGCAAACCAATTGTGCTGTGGGGAAACAAGGAGAAACAGGAGAAACAGGAGAGTGTTGCAACCTCAAACTGCTCGATAGTCAGGTACACCCGACGACTTGACCTGTTCCATGAATAAATCACGGTAGAATAGTTTTACTCGAGTAGTTCGTGGGAGAGAACGAGAGGGACGATCATCTTCCCGTTGCAGGCAGGCAGAAGTCGATTAGTAGCACCAAGGTTGAGGTTGAGGTTGAGGTTGCAGGCACTTATCTTTTCCCCCTATGGGCTTGGATTGCCTTGTGAAAAGACACGAAGACAAAAGGAAGACATACCTATAAGAAGCTACCAAGAGCCAGCTGGCCGCGTCTCTGGTGCATGGGATGTGCCGATGCCTGGATGTACTCAAGTTATGTGTAGGAATGTTGATCGGGAAGAATTGACAATTTGACGCCACCAAAAAGGCCGTCGTCACTCCCGAATCCGCGGGCTCCACCGACCAACACCAAACAACTTAACTCCCCCCCTCTTCAAACATTGAATCAATTCTCTTTTATTTTTTCCACGCGCTGGTGTCGTACAACCGACGCCTGTCTGGATTGTCCGGTCTCTTTACAAATATCTTATCTTCTTTCTCGCCCCCATGGCACGGTTGCAAGAGCCCTAGTTCACTCATCGTCTTCAGTCGGCCTTTTCAGCGAACGCGCAATCCATCGCACGGGTCCGTTCTCACGCCTTTCTGACGACGACAGCCCTTTTTGCTGGGACACTTACGGCTTACGGATATGCACAATCGGGGACAGTTCCGTGGAAGAGACACCAATTGACCTTGGACCAAGATTGACGATTGACATTGTCTCGGGGAAGCCTGCGAAAGTGGGAAATAAAAAAAACATCCGGGGAAATTCCTGGAGCTGTCAACGGTAGCCCGGATTTAGCCGACTACAACAACATTACCTTCCCCCTATTTGCGCCACGATGCTCACTTTCCGCAAGTCGCTTTCTGCGGCCTTGTTGCTGATCACCTTCATCGTCTTTTTCCGATCTTCGCATTCCTCCTCGTCCGTGTCGCCGCCGGTGCCCGCCTCCGCCGCGAAGGCCTACGACGATGGCCAAACAACGAATGACCAGCCCCAGGGGCAGAAGCCGGACAGCAATAAGCAACAACCCCTCTCTCCTCCTCCGAGCGCCCCATTGCGCGACCGCTTGCGTTATCACTTTCCCTACGATCTCAACGGCAAATTCCCCGCATACATTTGGCAGACATGGAAGTACACTCCCGAGTCGATGTTTTTCTCGGAGGAACTGCGTGACCCCGAGGCCAGCTGGACCGAGCTTCACCCGGGGTTTGTTCATGAGGTCATTCCCGACGATACCTTGCGACATTTGATCAAGTATCTTTATGGATCAGTGCCGGACGTATACGAGGCCTTTGAATCCATGCCTTTGCCTGTCCTCAAGGCCGACTTCTTCCGGTATCTCATTCTTCTGGCGCGGGGCGGGATCTACAGCGACATTGACACAACGGCTTTGAAGCCCGCGTCGGACTGGCTGCCTTCGGAGCTCGATCTGACGACCGTCGGGGCTGTCGTCGGGATTGAGGCGGATCCAGACCGTCCTGACTGGCACGACTGGTATGCGCGCCGAATCCAGTTCTGCCAGTGGACTATCCAGGCCAAACCGGGCCACCCGATCTTCCGGGACATTGTCACCTACATCACCGAGGAGGCGCTGCGAATGAAGAAGGCGGGAATCTTGAAAGTCGGAAAGATGGATAAGACGATCATGGAGTTCACGGGACCGGGGGCCTGGACCGACGCTGTCTTCCGGTACTTCAATGATCCCGAGTACTTCAACATTGAGCCGGGTTCTACCTTGAATGTCACTTACGAGGACTTTACCAATTTGGAAGGGTACAAGAAGGTGGGGGACGTGGTGGTACTACCTATTACGAGTTTCAGTCCGGGTGTGCACCAGATGAATGCAGGAGATATCGACGACCCGATGGCATTTGTCAAACATAATTTCGGAGGTCAGTTGCGGTTGCTTTTTCGTACCTGTCACTCAGGATGACTAACACTCTGATAGGTACATGGAAGACCGACCCGTCTCTCTAAGTTGGCCCTGCGGATCCATATATTCGACGCGTGCTCGGCGCGGCGCTTGCTGCTCAAGACGATGAACCAGGCGGCTGGGCGCCTGATGCCGACCTGGCGACTGCGTTAGATGCCAGTATTGACTCGGCTATTAGACCGAGAATCGCAAACTCACAAAGAACAGCCATCCAGGCTGAGCTCTTCTCGAGCGGCAACCGAAGCCATGAACATGGCTAATGTACTTTACTCGTTCGAACCTGGCCTGCTCTGTACAACCCGACCAGACAGGATCAACGCCATCGGCCACGATAGGCTCTACCATCATGGCAAAGCCATGAGAAGGACATAGTCTCTACCCTCTTGTACAACTGTTGGCAACACGTACCACGTCATAGACAAGCCAAAAAAACTGGCCATACGGTGAACAAATTGCACCAAACCATACTCGTCACTTTCGACGAACCCAAGTCCTGCTCAGGACAACCATGCTTGATTCTGCGTGTTCATATCACGATTTCCCTTACCTCACGCGATGTTGATTTCCCGTCGTGGGTTTACTGGCTATTCATGTATCTATGTGACTTTTCCCCAACAAACCTATATCTATTTAGTGTTATAATGCCCCACCGGCCTGGGAATGTAATAATATTTTCTTCTACACTTCCTGTTGCAACATACTAGGTAGGTAGCCACAAAAAGTGATGGTTTTGTGCAGCCACTCGGAGTGGCTCCCGGACTGCTCTGGGTCGCTCAGTCAGCAATCTCTGGGCTCGGAGCAGCTCCCGTGAGTAACAACAGCCTCTTAAACCGAACTATATCAAGTATCCACGTATATGGCCCGTACGCTTCGCTTCTCACTCACAATTTTCGCCAGTCCTCATAGCATATAAGCAATTGCACTTAGCGTTGCACAGCTTGTCAATTCGCCGTCGCTTCTATCGCCACAGCACACAACCTCTACATCCAACCACCTCGGAACAATGTCGACCAACCCAACCAGCGAGCAAACGCTCAGTATCATCGGCTGCGGTAAGCCTCTACCCTCCCCTCTTGCTCCTTGAGAGAAAACTAACATCCGACAAAGGAAACATGGGCACAGCCATCCTCAATGGCCTCCTGAAGGCCCAGTCCCAAGCCCAGACCACACCCCCGAGCACCAGCACGACCCCAGCGCTCCCCAAATCCTACATCGCAACCACCCGCAGCGCCACCTCGTCCACCAAACTCACCAACCTGTTCACCCCCTACCTCACGCGCACCGACCCAGACAGCCCCAAGGTAACCATCCTCCACGGACCGAACGCCAACCTCACCGCCATCCAAAAAGCCACCACGATCCTGCTCTGCATCGACCCCGCCGACATCCCCACCTTCTTCGCCGACGCGACCCTCCGCGCCGCCCTCTCCGGCAAATTCCTCATCAGCATCGCCGCAGGCTGGACCCGGTCCGCGCTCTTCAGCCTCGTGCCGGACATCCACGATCTCCAGATCCTCCGCACCCTGCCCAACATGGCCGCGCTCGTGGGGCAGAGCATCACTGCGATCGAGGTGCCCCCTGGCGCCCCTACTGATACCAGCGAGGGCAGAGCCAACCCCACCGAGGCTCACATCACGTTGACGCAAACGATCTTCTCGGCCGTGGGCCAGACGCAGCTCATCCCGCCGGCCCAGATGACCGCCTTCACGGCGGTGGGGGGCTCGACGCCGGCGTTCGTGGCCGTGTTCGCGGACGCGCTGATCGAGGGCGCTGTGGCGATGGGGTTTCCGCGGGGGGATGCGCAGACGACGGTGCTGCAGGCGTTGAGGGGGGCGACGGCGTTGATGCAGGAGGGCGGTCTGCATCCTGCTCTCCTCAGGGATCAGGGGACGTCGCCCGGGGGGTGTACGATGGGCGGGTTGATGGTGTTGGAGGAGCGGGGGTTGAGGGGCACGGTGGCGCGGGGGATGAGGGAGGCGGTTTCGGTGGCGGGGTTGATGGGGAGGCAGGCGGAGGGGGGGGAGGGGTTTGTTAATGGGACGCGGTAGGTGGCTTTGGGCTGAGACAGGGAAAGGGGGGGGTGGGGGGGTTTGTGGTGAGGGTATAATGGCTTGGAGGGGATTGGTGTGGTGTACTGTACTACGCGCGATCCGATCAAGTCATACCATCCCATAACTACCATAGCCCAAATGAGACTGGATTCTCCACTGCAAAGGATCTCCAATCTTCTCACCATCACTAACAGCGTCGACTCCCTCAGAGCGGTAGACCTGTGCCCAGTCACTCCTGCAGCCCAATCCTCGACCTAGAGCAACAAACACAACACCCAATACCTACCTAATCATATCCCACCATCAACAATAAGCCTCCATCCGAGGTCCCTATGCAGCAGCAATCGACCCGTCTCTGTCTCCGCCCGCATCGCCATCATCAGCCCCGACTCAACCACCGCCTCAGCCGCGCCATATCCGCCGAGGGAGCTATATCCAACTCCCGACAGGGTGCCATTGCTATTCCCTCCCACCTTCCATCTACACCCATCCTCCCTCCCTGCAACAACCCAGACTATACACACCCCGTCACCCAACCCTCCTCCTCCCGCTCCACTCCCCCCCCCAAACCTCGCGCGGAACCGCAGCATCCCACACCGCAACCAGCAAGGCCGATGGCCCCTCCGCGCAGATCGGACAAGGCAGCCCCCCCCCCCCCGCCTGAACCCACCTGCATTTCCTCTACTTCTACTCCCATGGGAGGAGGGGGTAGCGAGCGAAGCAGAGCCCGGACCGCAGCCCATCGGCGGTGGCGTAGCGGTGCACTTACTGCGAGGCCTACGGCGCGGCTGGTAGCGGGCTTCCTTTGACTCCGGGTTGAGTTGGAGTGAGTTGGAGTGGCAGATAGATCTCTGCGTGGTTGGGGCGGGCGGCGAGCGGCGAGGGCGTGGTTGTGGGTGTAGGTGGTGGTCGTGGGTTGCGGGTGCTGAATAAGGGTGTTGACCAGTTAGTTATGTGAGGTGTGTAAGTTAGTCGGTATGTGGGTTGGAGGAGGGTCTGGGTTTGGTTAGTTTGTATTCTGGGAGAGATGGGTGGTGGTGGTGGCGGTGGTGGTGGTGTTGAGGCCAACATGATTGCTATCGGGATTGTTTGTGGGGTTCACTGTGTATGTCTTGTTGTATGCATAGGATGGGTTGGTTGTTGGGGCATACTGTGTAGATCTAGACGAGGCACGGAGAGACGGGAGTGTGTGCGGATGCAGACCCGAAGGACGGAGTGGAGAGCGGCTGGACTAACCGCTGTTGCTGGGATCCACTAGTACTAGTATATACCGCTGCGGTACAGCTGCATGACGGAGGGTGTATCCGAGGGTATTGGTGACCGAAGTATACAGACACCAAGTATAACTCCTCCTTCCCCGCATCGATATCTCGTAAGGGCAAACTTATCCCAGGTATGTGGAGACACTCCCGAGTCACAAAAGATAGACAGTCATAATCGTTATTCTCATTCTATTTGATAATATCCGTGTAGATAGCTAAGATCGCCCGAGCCCAGCCCGGATCCTCCGCTTCACCTCCGCCTTGAGCGCCGCGTGCTCAGTCATCGTCCTGGCCACCGCATCGCGATTCTCCGCCGCCCTCCGCAGCAGGAAACTCAGACACTCGCTCATACTGCCCCAGTGCAAGCACTTGTAGACGGCTGGGGGGCGAGCAGCCCCTTGGTTCGCGCCCGTGAGCTGCAGCAGGCCGTAGGTCACCCCGTCCGCCATCCCCATCAGCTGCCCGAACTCGACCTTGCACGTCGGGAGGTTGGCCCGGACGCGCGCCTCGTGCAGGTTGTGCGCCGCCACCGCGCTGTCGATATTGTGCGTCGCCAAGAACAGGTCGGTGGCGGGGAACGGGCAGCTTTGTGTTGCCCCGAACCCCTTGTAGTTCTGCTGCAGGATCCCCCGCACGATCGTGTCGTAGGCCCGGTCAGTGTCCTCCTTCGTGTCGTGGATTAAGTGTCGTGGATCGCTGCTCATGTAGGCGCCGCGGACGAGCTTCAACCCCAGGGTGAAGCCTTCTTCGCTGGCGAGCTTCAGGTGCGCGGCGATCAGTTCCGGGGCGGCTTTGAGGTAGGCTTGGAAGGTGTTGTAGATGACCGCCTTGCCGTGGCGATTGTACTTGCGCATCATGTCCAGGGTCAGGCTATGGATGCCTCCAAGGAAGGCGTGTTGCTCTGCGTCCATCAGCAGCCGGGCTTTCTTCTCCACCACGCGCCGGCACACTTCGTCCAGTGCCTCAACCATCTGGGCGGGGACGGGCTGGCCTGCGGCAAAGGCCTGCGTCACCTTGGGGCCGGCACCAGTGAGTCTGGTCCATTGTTAGTATTTTGTCCAAAATAGCAATGGTCATTTCTAGAAACACTCACTTCGGGGCAAGGAAGTCTCCCGGGCCAAGCATGTCCACCGTGCGGAGGACATCTTCCCTCCACGCTTGGATATGCTCGCAGGTCTCTGTCGATGCAGCCTTCTCCAAGGCCCTCGTATTGGCGAACCGTTGCTTCTCCGTGCGCGAGTCCTGCACCGTCTCCCGCGTGTAGGTCAAGATCACTCCCTTCACTCCCGTGCTCTTGATCTGCTGGATGGTTCGGTGCACCTCGGCTTCCTTCTCTCCCGCACAGAAGTGGTCGTAGAAAGTCTTTCGTAGGAACCAGTAGATGAGTGGGTTTCGTTCCACATCCAGCAGAAGGCTGCGGGACTTGGAGAGAAAGGATAGGATGGATAAGCTGGGCCCTAATAGAAGCGGGTGGGAGGAGACGGTCGTCACCAGGAGGGACCGCAGCAGCACGCCTGTCGGAATGACTGAGTGGGCAGAGGCAGACACTGCGGCCTTCTTGACCTCGGCCGGCGAGTTGGCCACCACGGGGGCAACGCTCTCTCCACTTATGGACGACCGCGTGGAGACATATCGCTGATGTCGGAGGGCCAGAGGAGCTCGGAATGCGGCAATGCCTGTGGTGCCTAGGCCGGAGGTTGCCCTTAAGGAGGCAGACATTGCTTGAGATAGTCAATGATGGTAGAGAGGACTGATGATGCGAAGACTGACTCTTTCTCATGCCACAGCCATCTTTATAGCCCTCTTGTAGGGTTTGCGGGGTACATGATATGCTTGCAGCGACTAGGACTGATAAGGACGGGGGGGTGATAATCTCAATTCCATTTATTGCTCAGCTATCAGACCCCGTGTGCGAGGCCTTGCTGCACGTTGAGCGGCGGGGTGTCTCATCCATGTCCAGACAGGCACTGACCACTCGTGGCATGCCCCGGATCGACCGTACTGGAGAGCAGTTTGATACGGTACGGCATTGAAACACGTCCCAGCTGCAGGGTTATCATCGGAGGAAGAGCCGATGGGCAGGCAACTACTGATTAGGATTCGGCGCTGCAACCCGTCAGTGGGAGCTTGAGGGGTAGAACCAAGGGGTTTCTGTTGGGAAGTACAATAGCCCCAGGTAGTAGTGAGTACTAGAGTATCGGATATTAGAGATCAGAAAGGCTTGGTTGAAGTATCGCAGTCATGGCCATATGAAATCGACGCGGTTGCTCAGACGAGCTCTCTTCGAAGTATGGACAGACTCTAGACAATAGCAGGAGTCCCTCGCGGAGAGAGCGACGCTGTTGGTATCGGTGAACACTCCAGTACATAATTGAAAGAGGCGAGTCTTCCGGCACATGTCTTGCATAACTCGTGCATGCAATCGAACTGATAAGAGAGTCAATCCAACTCTTCAGTCAGAGATAAGATAAGGGTTATGGTTCGATGTTGGTGCAGCCATGTCGCAAGCGCCAAGTGAAGTGAGTGGTGATGGTGATGATGATGATGATGATGATGAAGGAGAGGAATTGAAATGACTTGTTCCCATCTCAGCATCTTCCGTGCAGCCTCCTTTCTCTGCATTCCAGTGTCTTTCATCTTGCCAGTGTTGATGACCACCAGACCCCGCATGAAGCAGAGGGAAAGCCGTGAGAAACCAAGAGAATCCCGCCCCGCATTTTGCCACGAGCAGCCGAAGACCGCATCAAACAACCCTTCTTCCTACTTCTCTTTTCTTGCTTCCTGCTTCCTGCTTACTTCAAGTTGTTCCTCTCGAATCACCCTGAAAACAACAGAATCATGAGCGTCAGAAGTCGAACCGGTTGCTTGAATTGCAAGAGTACGGGCCCCTGCTATCCCATTGAACTCGTCCCCGTTGTTTCCTCCACTGACCTGTCCCCGAATCTACAGAACGGAAACGCCGTTGCGGAGGTCGGTTCTCGATCCCGTCCCTCATTCACCCTGACGCTTGCTCACACGACCACAGAGGAGAGACCTGCATGTAGAAACTGTGAGGTCCGAGGATTCGACTGTTCCTATCTGTTCGAAACGACGCAACCAGCGCCATTGCGCTTCAAGATCTCTCTCGGTATGCGCACCGCCCATCCCCGTGAACTACCGAGCAGCAGTAACCATTCTCCCACAGGCAAAGGACACCGATTTTCTCCAAAACGACGAAACCGTTGGCAATTCCTCAGCGTATCCTACCATGATGCAGATGTATTATTATGCGAACAGTATCACCATCTTCCGACACCGTCCTCGAAACAAAGTATAGATCGCGACAATCAACCAGACGATTGCCCCACCAGACTCAACACGGAACCTTCGCCCTTCACAGCTCTTCTGATAGACTGCAGCGAGCTAGAAACCCAGCTATTCCAATACTGTAAGTAAACTGCACCCAAGCGCAGCTAATAACCACGATCAAGGACAGACAGCTCACAACCACAGATCTGCAGGTCATATGCAGGGTCCGAGTCTTCCAAGACGAGCCGCGCAACAAATTCCGCTCGCTCGTCATCCCCTTCTGCTCGCGCCGCAAGCCCCTCTGGTACGCCGTGCTCTCGATGAGCGCGAACGACCGCCGAGCAGAAGAGGCGGTGACGACGACCACCATCAACTACGCCCAACTCTCCCTCTCCTACAAATCCCTCGCCCTGCAGCTCCTCCGCGAGTCCCTCACACAGATGGAGGACGTGAACGAAGCCCTCATGACGTGTCTGATCCTATGCTCGCTCGAGATCGCCTGCGGCTGTCGCCCGGACTGGGTGCGCCACGCGCAAGGTGCCTTCGCCATCATCAACAGCTACGGCTCAGCCATCGACCCGGAGATCTTCTTCTTCACCCAAAGTTATTTCCAGTCTCGCGCCCTTTTCTTCCGCACCACAGGCTGCAACCCACCGCAGCATCAGACAACAACCACCACCACCACCACCCCGCCAGACCACCACCCTTCCACCCTCTCCAAAACCCCAACACCACCAAAAACAACCACCTCGCAGCACCTGCCCCCCGAAATCTTCCCCTGGGACATCTACCTCCACGACACGGCCCACAAAACCACCTACCAACCGCACATCGGCTGCTCGCTCGGCCTCCTGGACATCATCGCACGGGCCACCGACCTCGTCACGCACAAACAACACCTGCGCTCCAGCGGCACCAGCTCGCTCGCCTCCGAGGGCGCAATGATGCACCAAGCGATGCAGCTGCGCAGCGAGCTCGACGCCCTGGCCGAGGTATATCCCCCCGCCCCTCCCACCCCCACGGAAGACGGCGAGTACCTGGCCACCTGCGGCCAGTGCTTCCGGCTGGCGGCCGACCTCTACCTCCAGCTGGCCTGCGACATCCCGCTGACGCAGCCGACCCTGCAGAAACTGCTGGGCCGGCTGCTCGACCGCATCGGCCGGGTCATCCGCGAGGACCAGGAGCGGCAGCTGTTCCCCATGTGGCCGCTGTTCCTGGCGGGGTGCCTGTCGGCGGCGGACGAGGCGCGCGTGCGCGTGCTGACCTACTTCTCGTATCTGACGCAGTCGTGGCCCGTGAGCAACGTGGGCGTGGCGCGCGAGGCGATGGAGACGGTCTGGAAGTACCGGGATCTCAATCCGCATGATTCTCCGGCAAGTGGGCTGGATTGGCAGGGGATTCTGGGGCGGATGAATTGGACACTTGCCTTGTCGTAGTTTTCTTTCTTCTTTTTTTTTTATCGGGCGTGGTGAAAGTGTATTTATGTATGTATGTATGATGATAATGATGCAAATGTGATCAATGTCATGTCATTTCCTGTTCTGGAACAACGACCGTTTCTCGTTTCCAATCAATCAACAAGTAAGAGGAGACCAAACACCAAAGAATACTACCTATGTATTTACAACCTCGCCCCGGGAACCGGCTTGATCTCCGCAAACTCCCTCGTCGCCCCCAACCGCCAACTCACGTCCCCGCCCGCCCACTTCTTCCCCTTCTCCTTCTCGTCCTGGCCCACAGCTCCCTTCCACCGCCACCGCTTCTCGCCTTGCTGCCCCTCCTTCACCAACTGCGCCACCCACTCGCCCACAATCGGCAACATCTTGAACAAATGCCCGGAGTCCCCGGAGCAAAGCGCCACACTCCCCGCGGACCCGGGCACGAAATCCACAATGAAGTCCGAGTCCGCCGTATCCGCGAACCAGCACAGCTTCTTCTGCACGAACGGCCGCTCCGCCAACGCCGGCAGCGCGTGCTGCAGCAGCTTGCGCATGCGGGCCTCATCCTCGGGCGGGAGCACATTATCGCTCTCGCGGAGGGTCTTCGGCGGCAGCGACACGCCCGTGGCCGGGTCGGTGTTGATGTAGCCGCCGCCCATGGGGCAGATCTTTAGCAGGTTGGTGGCCGGGTCGGGCTCGAACAGGAAGCCCAGGTCGCGGGCGTAGGTGACGGGGATGCCGCGGAGGGCGCTGGTCTCGTCGTCCGTGAGGCGCACGTGCCCGATGGACCAGGATTTCGCGACGACCTGCGGCCCGATCTCCGGCAGCAGGGTGCCGGCCGCGGCGCCGACGGCCACGATCACCAGCCGGCAGCTGTGGACTTGGCCGGATTGCGTGCGCACGCCCGTGACCTTGCCGGGGGATGTGGCCACCCCGCCGCGCAGCAGGGTGGTGATCGTGCCGCGTTCGGCGCCGAGGAAGAATTTCACGCCGATGGATGCCGCGGCCTCGTAGACGGCGCGCAGCGCGTTGGCCGAGTGCGCGTAACCCGCGAGCGGGTTGAAGTAGCCCTTCCACCCTGGTAGCGGCCCGTTCAGTTGCCACGCGACGTCGCGTGGGATCTGCGTGGGGTTGGTGATCGTGAGGAGTTTGTGGGCGAAGAGCGGGTGGTTCTTGATCGTGGCGAGGAAGCGTTCGAGGGTTTGGGTTGCTTGCTGCGGGCCGGTGCCGGAGACGCAGTGCAAGAAGCCTGTTTGGTGGTAGTGTGGTGCGTAAAGCGGGGTTTTCCAGCCGGCGATGGCTTTCTGTTTGTGTGGTTGCGGTTAGAATGGATGCGATGCGCGGCTCGAGGTTGATGGGGCGCAGGAGGAGCATACAAGGGTCAGTTCCGTGTACCACGGGTCTTCATATTCGGCGCGCACGATCTTGTTGATGTCGTATCCGGCGGAGAAGCGCCCAGGAACCTGGTCGTCGCGCTCGAAGACGGAGATGTCCGTGTATCCCTCCGTGGCTAGTTGGAGGGCCGTGGAGAGACCGAACACGCCGGCGCCGATGATGACGATGGGATCGGATTTGGAGACTGGCATGATGTTTGACAGAAAACTGAGGATGAGGCTGGGTTTCGAGATGCGGATGCTTGCGTGGGACGTGCGGGATATATATTTGTCTCGTCAATGATGGCCCTCGCCCTCTTGGAGTCATCACACCACTCTGGCCGTGCTATGAGCTGTATCTGCACTCGTTCGCATACTGAATGCGCGCACAGCTCGCTGTTGCAGTTAGTCTATCCCCCAGTCCACCGGCAGGTGGAGCTTATCGGTGCTCACTCATTGTGATCGCGGATCCAAGCATGCGGGTTAGTTTATGCGATACGAGCGGGATACGCAGCCGACGGTGGAGGCCGTTTTGATACGGTATCACACAAAGGCGGGGGTTAGCGTGGTTGAGGATCGGCGGTTAGCGCATGCGATCCATCCTTGCAGGAGAAATGCACTGGCACCGCAAGGACCCTTCGGGGTTATCAACGGAAGTGGATAGATAGATTGTCCAGAAATCTATGCATTGCAATCTTTCGACGGGTTGATCATGGAAAGATAAGGGAACAAAGAGCACGCGTCAAAGTAGCAGACTGCTGGTCTCCTGGGTTGTCAGTCTTATTTGAGGTGATGCAGAGTAAACAAAATAAAATCAGCCGCGGAAGGAGGGGAAGACTGATCTGCTTAGTCACTCCTGCTTCCTTGCCATTGCTTTGTAGCTATAGAGGCATTAGAGCTGGTACACAGGGAACATTTGCCATCGCATTAGATATGACAGCTAACTCTGCCAAGTGAGTGAATAATAACCTGGTGATTCTAAATCACGAAACTTGACTAGAAGTAAACCACCACAAGACCCGAAGCCCAAATGCAGACTACGCTGGCAGTTAAAGGTGTAGCACGGGCCCAGCCATATTTTGTTCAAACAGGATGCAGGGAGCATAGATTGAGAACAAATTCTATTCAAACTTTATGAACATGATATCGATTTTGTACAAGTATATAACCGCAAAACCACCAAGCTTATTCCTCTTACTCGTTGCTAGGATACTTGAATCCGGTCAAAGGGAAGAACTCCTCCTTGATAGTCCGTGGGCTGGTGAACCGCAGAAGAACGTTGGAGCTACCTGCCTTATCGTTGGTGCCACTGGCACGGCTACCACCGAACGATTGCTGGCCAATCAACGCAGCCGTAGTCTTGCAGTCTATGAGAAGGTCAGTAAGAAACTCAAGGTATAAACAAGGCAGGAGACTCACTGATGTAGAAGTTGCCAGCGGAGTACCGCAGGGTATCCTCGGCTTCACGAATGGCCTTGCGATCAGCAGCAAACACGGCGCCGGTCAGAGCAAAGCCACCGCCGCTTTGGTCAACCTTCTTCAGGATAGACGACCATTCGGCATCGGGGTAGACGTAGACTGTCAACACTGGTCCGAAGATCTCGGTGTCAAACAGAGGGTGGTCAATATCCTTGGCCCGGTAAACAGTGGGGTGAACATAGTATCCAGTGGAGTCATCATAGGTACCGCCGGCAAGCAGCTCTAGCGAGGAGTCCTTGTTGCTAGCATCGATGACCGACTTGATCTTCTCGAAAGATGCCCGGTGGATGACAGGTCCCATGAAGGCTCCCAAGTCCTCAGGTGAGCCGATGGTGATTTCATCGATCTCGGACTTCAATTTGGTCAGGAACTCTTCAGCCCGTGATTCAGGGAGGTACAGTCTCGACGTGGCGGAGCACTTCTGGCCTTGATACTCGAATGAACCGCGAAGAGTGTGGTATACGGCGCTAGTGATGTCGGCAGTGGGGTGGACCAGGTGGAAGTTCTTGCCACTGGTCTCACCCACGAGCCGAGGGTAGTCCCTGTAGACCTTCTTGCCGATGTTGGCACCGACTTGGCTGTACAAGGACCGGAAAACATCCGACGAGCCAGTGAAGTTCAGACCCGAGAACTCGCGATGGTTCAGGATCGTTTGGGTGATCTGTTCCGCATCTCCAGTGACAAACTGAATAACGTTGGGAGGCAGTCCAGCCTCCAGGAGTATCTTATACACGATCTCGCTAGCGTAGACATTTGATGGGGAAGGCTTCCAAATCACCACATTGCCCATCAAAGCTGGGCCGCTGATCAGGTTGCCGCCAATTGCAGTGAAGTTGAACGGGGACACCGCGTAGACAAATCCTTCCAGAGGCCTGTAGTCAACGCGCCTGGAATATAGTCAGCAGCAGATCATTGATCAGGAAATCTCGTCGAACGTACGTCCACATCCCATCCGTGCCGCGGTCAGGCTGCTTCTCCAGCAACTCCGCAGCATAGTTGCAGTTCAGGCGGAAGAAATCAGCGAGCTCGGCAGCAGCGTCGATCTCGCCCTGCCACACATTCTTTCCCTGGCCAAGCATCGTAGCGGCGATGAGCTCATATCGGTACTTTCCAGCCACAAGCTCTGCGGCCTTGAGGAAGATTGCGGCACGATCCACGAAGGGGGTGTTCTGCCATGACTCCTTGGCCTTAAGAGCCAAGTCGATAGCTTCGTTGACTTGTGCGGGACTGGCCAACGGGTAGTTGGTGAATGTGGTAGCGTGTTCTGCGGGAAGCGGCTGGTCGGTTGCCTTTGAGACGGCTTGCGCCTTGCCATCGATGTATATTTGGCTCTTGAGCGGTAATTGAGATTTGAGTTCCTTCAATTTCTCCTCAATTTTGGCTCGCTCGGATGAGCCTTTCACATAGTCAAGCTAGAGCAGGTTCAGCTTCTCGTCTTCGATGTTCGCCATGACGAGTCAACTTACATTTGGCTCATTTCGAGCGGCTGGAAGTCGAAAAGGAACGGTGGCAGCACCGCGGACCTGTGTGCGGGAGGTGCGTGCAGCACGACGCACTAGAGAGCGCATGCTCGGCGAGGGCTGAGAGACAGAGAGTTTGAATGCCATTGTGATGAATTTAGGTGAAGGGAGAGGAGAGAAGGTGGCGGTGGTAGTGAGGAGGTAATCGTGAACACCAATGAAGATGCAACGACCATTGGCGATGCAATGGGATTCTTATGCCTCATGATTCTCATCTACCGAGCCGGAGCTGATGTCAATGGATGTAGATCCGAGAAGAGAAAGTGGATCAGTTCGGGGACGCAATCCGTTGATGCAGGAGGAGGTGAGAGGGTGAGGAGATTGCGGGGAGTCCAGCCGAGGTGGAAAGAAGTTAACTTATCTTACAGCGGGTAGACTAACAAACGGCCTCAGATCCCGCTAATACCTTATCAAGTAATGCATCTACAGCTCAGGGCTATCAGGCATGATACGATGACACTCTCGATCAATCGGTCTTATCTGATGATTGACAAAACACAAAAATCAAAAATTCATAATCCGTGTCCGACTTACAGCTGCATTATACCATTGACTAAGACTCCCTCATTCGAGCTTGTCATGACCAAGTCACACATGAATTCAACTTGCAGTCCAGGTAGTGCAGCCAGAGGGCACCATGCGTAGCTTAACATTCTAATTCTGTAGGCAGCTTTCTACAGAGTCAATCTTGACCCTCTGCTAGGTCTATCACTCTTCCTTGTACACTACAACCGCTCACAGTAGCCCCTCTGTTTAGATCAGAAACCCAAGAATCTTAACGTGTGTGTGCCTTGTTTCTCATATTTCTCAGAAATCAGAGCTTCACAATGTCACCAGATCGTTCAACTTTACAGCAAAACTTCCATACCACCAGATGGAACAGCGACTTACAAAAACACCTTGCTGGGGATATTGCTGCCGGTGTAATATCCGCTACATTCATCTCCCCAATTGTTACAATCATTGACCGGTCAGTCATTCATGATTGCGAAAATCTTCTGGCTGCTAACACCACTCGTTAGGACGATTGTTGAAAGACTCGCATTGAATCGACCACTATTGCGAACACTGGGCGTCAACGCAGTCTGCTCCATCTTTCAACCTCGAAAATTCTACGTCTCGAAGCCGTTCTTCATCGTCTGGTCACTATACGCAGCCACCTATTGCACCGCAAATATCACGGATACCTGCATCCACCATCTTCCCTCCCTCACCGACAAGAAATCGACGGCGAGTCTCGCCGCGACGCTAAGCTTCTTGCCCACATATGTCGTGAATGTATATCTGGGGATAATGAAGGATGTCAACTTTGCTCAATATTATGGTCGTTCGAGTACCGCCGTTGCAGTCGGTGCTCGCGTCCCACGAGCAGCATATATGTCCCTGTTGTTCCGGGATAGTGTCACCATCTTCAGCTCATTCAACCTGGCGCCATGGATGGCCTCATCCGTCCCGGATTGGGTTGCGACCGGGCCGCACACCAAGGCCATGATCACTCAGCTAGTTCTGCCTGCTGCCGTTCAGTTTGCCAACACTCCACTACACCTCCTCGGGTTGGACCTGATCGCCCGACCCCAGAGCCAAGGATTAGTGGAGAGGTGGAGTCGGGTCCGACGGGATTGGGCTTCTTCATCAACCGTCAGGGCTGCAAGGGTCCTGCCGGCCTTTGGAGTAGGCTGCATAATGAATACCGAGCTACGAGACCTGGTGCACCACAGTTAGCCATAATAGATACCGCGCTCAGCCAAATACAGTGAAACTACGCTTGATAGACATGTCCGAAATCGCTAAATCAAGGCCATGTAGTGGCAAAAAGCCCAAGGATGTACGAATCATGACCACTCGATAAACATCGGTCGTGAGCAGCTTCACTGAACGGCGGCTACGCTAGCCGTCGCTGGGTGCCTACAGCAAGGGAACTGGAACCTCCTCATCCTCCGAATTGAGGAAAGTGCGGGGAAATCATAACCAGGAGAAGGCTGGGCTTATCTCTTTCGTGAAGGCGCATGCACTAACCTCATGTCCAAGGTTTGACTATCCGTGGTTGCAGCCGTCCATCCGCAGCCATTGACATACAACCAACCATGATTGACAGACCTCAACTAGCTTCAAGGTCAGTATCGGCTCAGTGGCTGAGTATACTTGACCTCGAGTCGAACAAAAACAACGGATTTCCACGATACCTTATCACTCCAATGTGGAGAAGCCCGGATCCCAGCGGATCCGCTGGAGCTGATGGTGGACATTGCAGGAGTCAGCTTTCAGCATATGTCAAGGGTGCTAATCAAACCATCCCTCGTCTTATTGGCCGTGATACTCGCATTGGGACACTTCCCCAGATACGCTATGCTTATCCCCACGTTTCCAATCTGTTTACCGTATCAGAATCCTTTGATATGCGGACTAGAGTTATAGCTTGGTCATACCTGTCTACAGCCTCCACCAAGTCCAGAACTGTATGAACATACAGTATCGGTGGTGGACACAGGGCACCAATTGAAGAGGGCTACCAGTATCCATACGTCATGGTAACAAGGGATACCGGTCGAAGATAACGCTCATGACCCCAGCGATCTCAGATTTCCAGGCTGCACCATGACTTCTTCAGACATAGGTCATGCATACCTCCCTCGTTATCTGCCGGAGAATGCACTTATACCTTTTTGGGACCACTATATCCTAATAAGCCCGTTCTCCCTCACCCTGAAATGAGAGGTGGTGTTATCCTCGCTTTGTGACCTACATAAATCTTTACAGCTAGCACTCGAAGTCGTTGCGCTCTTTCTTGCTACTAAGCTGCATTATACTTCTTCCAAACTTGATTGAAAATGGCTGTGAGTAGTGAGTTTGGGACTCTCGCGGAGACTACAGTACCCAATGCATATGACATGCCCCCCGACGAGGAAAAGAAGCAACCTCTCGATGATGCTCCAGAGGAGGACCCTTTCGGAAATGAAGAGTGTGCAGAAGTCAAATATCGCACACTGGGGTGGTGGTAAGTCTTTGCCTGTTCTCGATTCTTCATTGTAACAGACTGGGCTGACCGGGGTAACCTTCATACAGGCGCTGTGGAATACGTGAGACTTGCCTGTAGTCATTGCCTCATCCAAGATATTCTAACACCGAGATGCACAGTCATGGTGGCAGAGAACGTCTCGATAGGGATTCTGTCTCTTCCCTCTGCTGTTGCAACCTTAGGGCTAGTCCCGTGAGTCGGCCGTCACCACGCCAAAGACTGATCACTGATCTTTAGCAGCTCGATTATTCTGATGATCGGTGTATCGTTTATTGCATGGTACACGGCGTACCTCATCTATCAGTTCAAGATGCGATACCTCCACATTCATAGCATGGCAGATGCCGGCGAGGTCATCCTAGGCCGATTCGGACGCGAGCTGCTGGGAGGCGGCCAGCTACTCTTCTTGGTGTTTGTGATGGCCAGCCATATCCTGACTTTCACTGTTGCCATGAATACGATCACCGACCATGGTACCTGTACCATTGTCTTCGGTATCGTTGCGCTGGTTATTAGCTGCATTGGAAGTCTACCGCGGACTATGGGAAACGTGTATTGGATTTCCTTCGCATGTAAGTCATATCCCAGTCCCACTCCTACCTCGAGCGGGCAGAGAACTGAGAGCATGATGAAGCTTTCCTCAGCATCGCCATCGCGGTCATTGTGACCATGATTGCCGTTGGGGTGCAAAACACAGGCCACATCCATCTCGACGCTGTTACACACTACAGCTTCAAGACCGAGTTTCTAGCTGTCAGCAACATTCTCTTCGCCTACGGTGAGTTCCCCGGTCCTGACACTGCACCGTACGCCCCTGACAACATACAGTGGGCCATGCGTCCTTCTTCGGGTTCGTTTCCGAGATGGAGCAACCGCGGGAATTTCCCAAATCCATCGCCGTCCTCCAGATCATCGACACCTCGCTCTACATCGTCAGTGCCGTCGTGATCTACCGCTATGTGGGCGTCGACGTCGCCTCCCCAGCCCTGGGCTCGGCAGGACCCGTCATGAAGAAAGTGGCCTACGGCCTGGCCCTCCCAACCGTCAGTCCTCCTCACTATCGCACGAATCTCCACCCCGACAACAAAGCTTCAAACCGCTAACATCGAGCCCCCTCTTCTTGCAGATCCTAATCGCCGGCATCGTCAACGGCCACGTTGCCGCGAAATACGTGTATGTCCGTCTCTTCCGGGGCACGAACCATATGCACGAGACGACGCTGCTGTCCAAGGGATCCTGGGTGGCCATCGCCCTCATCCTCTGGGTCGTCTCATGGGTCATTGCCGAGTCGATCCCGATCTTCAACGACCTGTTGAGTTTCATCGTATGCATCCCCCCTCCCCCCCCTCCCCTCTGATACTTTCCACCTCTCAACTAACCATCATCTGTCCTATCCTACTCTAGACCGCCCTCCTCGGCTGCTGGTTCGCCTGTAAGTCCATATCCCATATCCCCCCCAGCCCTCGACCACCCATCCAAACCCACGCAGCATATCCCTAACATGACCCGCAACAAACCCACAGTCGGATTCCCAGCGATCTTCTACTTCGTCCTGAACAAAGGCCAATGGTTCTCCTCGCCCTGGAAGACCCTCCTCAGCGTGATCAACCTCTGCATCTTGGGGATCGCTTTCGCGACGGTACGTTGCCTGCTTTGCCTGCCCCTTTCTTGCTGTTCAAACCGCACGTTCACAGTCCCTAACACGACGTAAATCCATCACAGTGCGGCCTAGGCCTCTACGTCTCCGGCGACGCGATCAGCAGAGACAGCAATAACTCCGTATGGACTTGTGCCAGTAACGGGGTTTGAAGCTTGAGGAACTCTTTGGGGGGAATTGTCACGTTCGTCTATCGCTTGTTGGGTTGTTCTTGTTTTGGTTTTGTTTGCTGGATCAAACTGGGATATTTGGTTTTTACCTGTTGTATGGTGTATGTAGTTAGGGGTTTGCGTATATTGGCTTGTCTGAATCCGATGTTTTTATCATTTCGGCTTAACATGTCTCTTGGGTGCGTTTTTGGTGCGCAAGTTATTGGACTCATTTTTTGTGTAAGGTTGATGTGCTATATCAGTGGTTTGTTGCTTGCTTCAAGTGCGACTTGAATTGAATTGGATTGCATTGTGCTAGTCGAACTATAGTTCAAGTTTGTTGTATGCCACGGTAAGAGCTTATGGAGATGAACGTGGACGGGTGAGCCAGATCAAGTGGCCTGGATTGAGTCACGTTCACAACAAAGAGTTTGCATATACATCGTTGATCCATCAAACATTGGCGCCCGTTTGCCATTTTCCTCGGTTTTGGGTTCATTTCATTATACGCGATATGGTGTTTATATAATTATATATATCCAAAAACAAACATTCTCAAATGGTCTCAAGTCATGACACATGCGTGGGTAAGGAAGGAAGAGAGGTTGAGTGAGGTGGGGGCGGAGATCAAAAGCGTAGCCTCGTGGGTCGCATCATATCATTATCAAGCGGAGAATGGAGAAATGCTTGTCGAGATGGAAGTTTCGCAGGCGTCGCGGCTGAGCCTAAGAGGCATCTTGCTCATTTCGGATGGGTACGACTGGAAATTGTGGTCAACGTGAGGGGAGAATTCCCGGCGCTGGGTCCGCAGTTTTGGAGCTTGAGGTCGACAGAATAGAGAAACGGTCGTACAGATGGAAATATAATAAAGAGAACAAAAGGTCGAGCACCATGCATCGTCGAGTATCAGCTTCAGACATAGGCTTCAAACAATTTGATCCTTGCGCCTGGCCTAGATTATTTGCTGAAACGAAAACGCAACAAAGTCTCTCCATGCGCTGCGCCGTTATTCATGATTCTGGTCAAGTTAGAACCTGGAAAGATGATCGATAATTGCGAAAGTCCCAAGGCACGTCATGAGGGTTTAAGGCAGAGGCAAGGGCTGCGATTGTGATTGCGATGCGTTGGGCTGCCAAGATCATACTCATCTAGTAGGATGAGAACAGGGTGCATGGAGTAAGACTGGACCCCGTCTGAAGCACCAAGTGGTCCGGACTTGGCACCTGGGGCGTTATTGTGATTGCCATGTCTATGACATAGGGGCACAGAAGCCGAAGGAGTGAGGCTGCAGACCTGGGTGGCCTAGGTGTGTGCTGAAACACAAAATGCACCAATTCAGGGATGGCGGTGCAGGTCAAAGCTGATCTGGTTCACACGAATAGAGCTGGTTCAGACTGCGGTATCCTTCAAAAATCAGCGAACAGCGGTTCATATTTGTTCCTCATGTCGTCAGAATAAGGCGTCTGGTTCCGCTCGTCCGGATCAGGATATTCCTCGAAATTGCCCGTGTCAGCAGGATGGTCGACTCGTGGGATTATAGGTCCCTTAATACGACGGTACCATAAATCGTCCCAATTGATGTTCTCAAAGAAAGGATGCGCTTTCACTCGAGCAGAGCCCCCGGAGATGTATCCTAACCGCTCCGTCGGATTAGTCTTGCAAAGAAGGGAGATAATATTCTGCGCAGCGGGCGACATATTTGGAGGGTATCGAATGCGGCCCTCGACAATCTGCTCGTAGATGCGCATTGGATTCTGATCCCAGAAGGGAGGCTGTCCTACTAGGAACTCATATATGAGAATCCCCAGAGCCCACCAATCTACCGCAAGACCATGCCCGCTATTGTGAATAACTTCGGGTGCAAGATATTCTGGCGTGCCACACAGCGTGTAGGTCTCGCGGTCTGCGATTTGCTTTGCAAAGCCGAAGTCAACCAGTTTGATGTGTCCATCCGCGTCCAGAAGGATGTTCTCAGGCTTCAGATCGCGATAGACGACGCCCTCGACGTCATGAAGAAACTCGATCGTCAATGCAATCTCAGCGGCGTAAAACTTGGACGTGTTTTCGTTGAAACGACGTGCGCGCCTGAGGTAACTGAAAATTTCACCTCCGGGGCAATAGTCCAACTATGATGTTGTCAGAGATCACCATAGCATGAGAAACACATTCCGCAAGATCTCAAAGGTCCAAATTGAGACTCGAGGGTGTAGGTATCATGGGTAAGCAGCCATACCAGCATGTAGAGGTGTTGGTCATCGGAGAAAGATGCTATTAATGTGGTTACGAATGGATGTCCGGAAACGTCCGCCAGAGTCTTCCGTTCGTTGCGCACATGCTCAACTTGTTTCAGCTTTATGACTGTAGAGGGCAAGAGACATGAATATCAGCTTCCAAGACTAATCCTATTTGAGAGATCAGAAGGGAATAGTACCGTCCGCTTTCCTGAGCATTTTGAGCGCGTAGACTTTATCCTTTCGGTGCTGCTCTTCCTTCAACTGCACGAGCCATACGCGAGCAAAGGTACCTAAAGACAAGGACACCGCCACCGTCAGACACCGGTTAGGCCGCGCAAGCGATGAAGCTTAGCTTACCGGTACCGAGTGTCTTCAGCAGCGTGAAGTCATTGACATTCAGCCGACGAGTCGAGATGCCTAATTGTTTCTCCTCCGGGCGGCCTGAGATAACAAAGGGACTCAAGCGTCTCTGATGGGGCGGTCGCACCGAGGACACCAAGTCCTTGTCCCTTTGATGAATGTCGTCGGATGCCATTTGGGGTCGGAGGAAAGGGGGAGATGCGCTTTGGAATTCGTTAGGATGTGAGGGGTCGACTAATCCTGCAGCCATGAGCAGGGCAAGAGTTTCATATCGCGGATGGCCGCGGGGAGTAAGTGAGATAGATAGATAGTGAGATAAGAGGGGCAGCAATTGAAATTGGAAGAGCTATTTCAGCTGCAGTTCCTCCTTCTATAAGCGACCGACAAAGGCAAATTGGAGTGGGAGGGGAGAAGATGATGAAATTTGCCCCGTGGGATTATCGATTGGAGCAGCGGGCGCAGCGCGGGAAGACGTAAGTAGAAGAAGAAAGAGTAAGTTTTGGCGGGGAGCTTTTCTGCTTTCTTTCTTCTTTGGGTGAGGGAAGCCATGCGGCAGCACTAAGTAATCTAACTACTACGGCAACAGAGAGAGGCCTCTGACGTTACCGCCAAGCGGGGCAATTCGACATCACCACCTCACCACCACTATCATCCTCATACTACGAGGTACTCATGATGCTAATTTATTGTTAATAAACCCTTTAAATCAGTCGACTAGAAATAATCTTGAGGATTGCATGCTTGCTGTTTAGACATCTAAACCAAGTACTAGTACATCAAAGCCACACACTCCCCTGGCCACCACCATCTGAGGCCACCACTGACTATGGATATCATGGGTGCATGTGAAGTCTAACGCATTCGGGTTCAGGCTTCGGTCTGGTAAGCCCGCCCAGAGTGCGTCCTACTCGAGTTCACGAGGCGTAGTTAGGGTTGGAGGGAGTTGACCCGAGCGAAAACGGTCAACAAGTGCGGAAACAGAGAAATGGGATCACGACCAGCCGAACTCCTCTAACCGGAGCTTTTCGAGTTGAGGATAAGACCAACAATCAACCTATCACCGTCAGCGTACTGTCTACTTCTCCCATCGGTCCTTGCACCAAGACCTACCCATAAAGACCAAGAACCTCGCCGAAAATGAGGATCAGAATCATGCCGACATAAACCCTCGATTGTTGCATGTACGCACGCACGCCCTTCCAGAGTTATCAGTAGCTGCACGAGGTAAGACACAAGTCTTCGACTGCCGCTTACCGCATCTCCCACAATTCCAATAGTGTATCCGGCAGCCACGCCTGCGAGGCCAACCGATAATCCAGAAGCCAAGTGCATGAATCCACTATATAGTCGTCAGTTTGTCGTCCTGAGAATAATGGCTTGCAGGCCGAGCATACGTGTAAAGACTCATGTTCCGGGTCGGGGGAGGGTCCATATCACCAGCGATAAGGACGGCGATGACGAGGCCATAGACGGCGATGATACCGGACATGACGACGGGGATCAAAGACTGCATTGGTCAGCTCGACTGCTCATCCTGGAACCGTAGATGGGGTTTTCCATGCCTTCATAATCAAATCAGGACGGAAGGTTCCCACACCGGCGATACCGATTCCAGATTTGGCTGTTCCATATGCTGCTCCCAATGCTGTAATCAAGTAAGTCAATGCGCCGGCCCCAGTCGATCCATTCCGTTGAAAACCCAAGCTCACATACATCCGAAAATCATCTTTGTCACAGTGGTCATTAGTGGGCGGTCACAGGTCACGGGGATTGTTCACGCGATACTCACAGCCGATGCAATTCCTGCCTGTAAGTGTATGTCATTAGCTATGAATAACCATCGAAGTATCCGGAGCAGCCAGGGCAGACTACAGCAAGTATGCCGTGTCGTAGGAGTCGATTCAAGATTTGCAGCGACTTACAAAGGAGAAGAATGGAGCGAACTTAGGAGAGAACTCGCTGTCCGCCATGGTGAACTGATGTGAGACACCACAAGGTTGGGAATCGACGGAAGGTGACAAGTAACGGGGTGGGTGGCTTGGAGGCGATCGGAGTAAGGTAAGGATTTGCGGGAAGAAGACCGTATTCCAGTTGAATATGAGCGAAAGGGGGATCGTAGAGTGAGCTCGACTGAATACACAGAGAGGTCTTGCCGTGGACCGGAGGTCGAAGGTGTGATTTGAAGGTCAACGGAGAGCCAAGTAAGTAGAGGCAACAGCAGGTCAGTTGTTCCAGCTCCAGGTGCCGGTGACGGAAGATGTCCGCTTGGGCCACCGTACTCTAACCTGAACCAACTGGTCAATCCCATCTGGGTTAAGACTGACATGTGCCTGGTTGACCCAACAAACCACTGGGAAACTCTCTGGTCAACCGTGGACCTTTGGTTAACCTCTGGTTAACAGTGCTCCGTACCACTAAAACTGCTAACTTCTTCATTCACAATCCACTCCCACACCCACATCCACCCACACCCACCAACATCACCACTACTCCTCCTCCCCTCCCCTCTCCCTCCCAGTACTATTACTGTGCTCTCTTCTACACCCGGATG